GCTATAAATAAATAAAATATATCACGATAATAATATAAACTTGCACAACCTTTAACAATAAGAATGATTGAATCATTTCTAATAGCTCGACTAACATATTCAAAAAAAATTCATTACTGTATAATGTGATAACAATGAACAAGGAATATCAGGCATTGTGTAGAGCTTTGTTGGCCATTAAAATGACAAACCGACCTTAGCTCAGTTGGTAGAGCGGAAGACTGTAGTTGGTCAAAAGCCTTGACAGATTATCTTTAGGTCGCTGGTTCGAATCCGGCAGGTCGGGAAGCATGCTTTTTTTCCCCTCAAATAAAACAGTTTTTTCTTCTTCTTTAGATATAAAAATAGAAAATACAAAAGGACAACTTCTGAACTGAACTCTTAAAAAAAGTTGTGATTTCATAAGCGGAGACTAGACAGAAAAAGTATAATTAAATATTATCCCTATTTTATAGTTATGAGATAGAGAAATTATTTTCTATAGATAATCAATTCAAGATAAACTCTGACAAGCTATTTTAATATTTGCCTACATGTAATCTATGTGTAGAAATATCTCCATCCCTTGCATTAATTTAAAAAGAAACAACTTGGTCTTTGCTGCTGACCTTGGAGTGTGAGATGGTGAAGTAATTTGCAGCAAAAATATAGGCACGTTTGGGGTAACTATACGCCCAAACATATAACTGCAAAAGCCCAACTTCACAGATGTTCATCTCGATTATTAGGTGAATGAAAATAATTTGTTCGAATATCTGAAAAGCAACCGACCTTAGCTCAGTTGGTAGAGCGGAAGACTGTAGTTGGTGAAAAGCCAGTCAGATTATCTTTAGGTCGCTGGTTCGAATCCGGCAGGTCGGATTTTTCTTTTTCTTTTCCAAAAGCATTATGATTTTTTCAACTTTCAAATAAACGAATTGTTTTATTTTTTAAAGGAAAACCTTATAAATAGAAAATACAAAAGGAAAAACAACAATTCGCAACTGAACTCTTAAAAGCTACTGCAAGAACAATATATTCAGTGTTATTCCACAGGTGGTGTTCAAAGAAAGTAGAGAATAAACAAATTTTAGTCATATCTTATGTGTTAGAAAGGCTGATTTCGATAAATATTCGACTCAAAACAAACTCTTAAAAGCTATTTTTATATTTGTCTACATGTAATCTCCTTGGAGAAATATCTCCTATCCCTTGCATTGATGGTTTAAAAAAAAACAACTTGGTCTTTGCTACTGACTTTGGAATATAAGACGGTAAATTACACAGTATGGTAAACATCTGTTATGTATTTATCATTAGTGGCTAATGTTTAAAATAATTATTATTTGTAGGTATACTTTGAAAATGATTACTATCTTTAGCATCTCTCCTCTTTTTTTCAATATTGCTCGCCTCTCTACGCCCTCTCTCTTGCGCTCTCTCTTTCTCTCTATATATATCTCTTTCTCTTTTGCTTTCTCGCTGCCTCTCTCACCTTTTTCTCTCACACACATCAATTATTCCAATTAATTTATTGTAAATTTAAATTTATAGTGATTTTTTTTATGATGATACAAGTATATCTCACAAAATAAAAGTGATATATACACGGATACAGTCTCCAAACAAATGTTATATCTAGAATTTTTTTTAAGATTGTATTAGTGTATCCGGTAAATTTGAGAAAGAGTATTCAATAAACTTGTGTACTTTGTTAATCCCTCTAAACAAATATTTTATTTTTACAGAGTGACCTGCCCTAAAATCAATATATCTAGCAAAAGACAAACTGTTAATACAATTAGGTTGAGCGAATAGATATAATGGATCTTTATCCAACTAACGAGAATTTCAAAAGGCTATATCTGAGATGCAACGCGAATTCCTGAATGCTATATTTGAGATATAACGTGAATTTCAAAACAGTTGCTATAAATTATAATTACATAAATTATTACTGCTAATGATAATTATATTCCAATTTATTGTTATTTATGAAAATTCCTTGTATAAGATAGTAAAGTAATTTACAGCAAAAATATAGGCAAGTTATTTGGGCTAACCATAGGCCCAAACATATATCTGCAAAAGCCCAACTCCATAGATTTTCATCTCGATGATTAGGTGGAAGAGTATGCCCAACATTTACGGAGGGATGAAATAGAAAATAGAAGAACATTTGGTCAAAATTGAAGTGATCTTTACACAAGTTATCTTATGATAGTCAAGTCAAACTTAAAGTTAACTAATTATTATCTAAAATGCACACTTAATGGAGCAGTTGGAATGAATTTGGAATAAATA